CGACGACGACGGCGACCACGGCGACGGCGACGACGAGGACGATGGCGACGACTTTGACGATGACGGCGACGACGACGACGACGGCGACGACGACGGCGACGACCACGAGGACAACGACGACGACGGCGACGGCGACTAAGACGACGATGGCGGCGCCGACGACGACGAACTCGACAGTAATTTTGTCGACGACGACGACGACTACGACGATGAGCACGACGACGACGACGGCGACGACATCACGACGACGACAACGGCAACCTCGACGACGACGGCGACGACGACGACGGCCTTCATGACAGGACGACGACGACGACGACGACGTGCACGACGATGACGACGGCGGCTGCGACGACGAACGCGACGACGATTGTGGCGACGACGGCGACGACCGACGACGGCGAGGACGATGACGACGACAAGCTTGATGTCCACGACGGCGAAGACGACGCTGACGGTGACGACGACGACGACGACCACGACGACGACGACAACGGAGACCACAGCGGCGACGACGACGACGATGACGTGCACGACGGCGATCGCGGCGACGACGACGGCGACGACGGCGGCGGCGACGACGACGACGACGACGTGCACGACGACGACGACGACGACGACCATGGTGTCGACGGCGACGACGACGACAACGACGTCGCCGACGGCGACGACGACGACGACGTCGACGGCTACGACGACGACAACGACGACTGCGTCGACGACGGTGACGATGGCGACGACGACGACGACTGCGACCATGGCGACGACGACGACGACGACGGCGACGACGACGATGACGACAACGAGCATGACGACGACGACGGCAACGACGGCGACGACGAGCACATGGACAAGGACGGCGACGCTGACGACGACGACCATGTCAGCGCGATGGCGACGACGGTGACGACGACGACGGCGACGGCAACGACGACGACGACGAGCACAAGGAAAAGGACGGCGACGCTGACGACGACGACGACGACCACGTCAGCATGATGGCGACAAGGACGACGACAAGGACGACGAGGACAAGCATGACGACGAGAACGACGACGAAGAATAACATCGGTGGCAACGTCGACGGCGACGACGACGACGATGTTGACGACGACGACCGCGGCGACGGCGACGGCGAAGGCGACGACGACTGGGCGACGACGACGACGACGACAACGGCAGTTTCGGCGACGACGACGACGACGTCGGCGACCACGGCGGCGGCGACGACGACGACGACGCTGACGAGTGCGACGACGGCGACGACGACGCCGACGTTGACGACGACGACCGTGGCGACGGCGACGGCGACGGCGACGACGTCATTGACGACGGCGACGACGACGGGGCGACGACGATGGTCACGACGACGGCGACGACGACAACGACGGTAACGGCGACGACGGCGACGACGTCGGCGGCCACGGCGGCGACGACGACGACGACGACAAGTGCGACGACGTCGACGTCGGCGGCGACGACGAAGACCTCGACGACGACGACGACGGCGGTGACGACTACGACAAGGACGACGTCGACGACGTCTACGACGGCGACGGCGACGACGACGGCGACGACGACGACGTCGGCGACGCCGACGACGTCGACGACGACGACGATTTCGACGACGACGGCCAGTGTCGACGACGATGGCGACGACGACGACGACCACGACGACGACGACTGCGACGACGTCGGCGAAGACGACGATGACGACGACGACGACGACGGCGGCCTTCAAAACAAGGACGACGACGCCGACGCCGACGCCGACGCCGGCGCCGACGCCGACGCCGACGCCGACGACGACGACGACGACGACGACGACGACGACGGTGGCGGCGGCGACAGCGACGACGACGGCGGCGACGGCGACGACGACGACGACGATGGCGTCCACGACGACGATGACGGCGACGACGACGGCGACGGCTACCACGACAATTTCGAGCATGACGACGACGACTACGACGACGGCGACGACGACGACGGCGACGACGGCGACGACGAGGGCGACGACGACGACGACGACGACGACGACGACGACGACGACGACGACGACGACGACGACGACGACGGTGACCACGACGAAAACGACGGCGACGACGACGACGATCACGACGGCGACCACGACGACTACGAGCATGACCACGACGACTATGACGAAGATGACGACAACGTTAACGACGACGACGCCGACGACGACGATGACGGCGGTGACGACGCAGCGCGAATAATATTCATACCTGAGGTCCAGGCTTGTTGATATTCCGACACAAGCCCGAGGACGGAGGACTAAAAGGAACCTTGTCGTCGTTGTCGTCTTCGTCCTGGTCATCGTCACGTTGTCGCTGTCGTCGGCTCTGCTGCTGCCGCCGCCGCCGCCGCCAGCGCCAGCGCGCCGGCGCCGGCGCCGGGGGGGGGCTTCGGGGATGGGGGGGAGGGGAGTCCGCCTGGTTCAATTCGACGGCGCCGAAAGTTCGGAGGGGGGGGCCCCCCAGTTCAAACGCGCCGCCGAATGTTTCCAAAGCAAGCGCCCGTGAAACGCGCTCCCTCGTTATCAATGACCACCCCCTGGGGGATCGATTTTCGCGGACCTCCACAGGCGGTGGATATGGATATGCTCGGGCCTCCGGGGGCCAAACCATGTCCATCTCCACCGCCCGCGGCGCCGCCAGGACGTCGGTTCGCATCGCTTCTTGCCGGGGGCATTGTTCCTGTTCCCGGAGGATAGCGGGCGGTACCTGTGGGGGGGATTGGGGCTGGTAACGTCACGATTCGCGCAAGCGCCGTCTGGAAATGCTTGGAGACGACGAACTCCCAGACGGCGCCAGCGCGAATCGCGATATTTCCAGCGCCCCCGCCCCTCCATTCCTCCTCCGCCTCCTCCTCCTCCGCCTCCTCGGCAAGGCGCCAGACATGATGCAGGACGGCAGTCAGATGGGAAGTCGACGCACCACGCGGGCTCGAGAATCCTACCTCGACTGCACCCCGCGGTCTTCGCGGCAACGCCGGGGAACCGCGCGAGTTCGAAGCCGGGACACCGTCGACTCTGGGCGCCAGTACACCGAGTACGACGCTGCGTATGCCACGGAAGTCCTCGAAAATTGGAAGCATCTCGTCACGCGGTTCCAGGAGATGAGTTGTTCCGAGATGTCCCAGTTGCACAGCGCATGGCAAGACGCCAAAGCGTTCACTATTTTCGTTGCTAACCCAGCGCACGATGAGAGGTCTGAGGACGCCAAACTGTACCCCGACACCGATCTTGGCCCGGCCCATCCTGTCCCGGACCCTGGATGGGCCTGGCCAGGTTCTGGATGATGGTTTGCGTCCTCCTGCGAGGACCGACACGCTGGGAACGCACTTCCACTTCATGAGGGACACCATGAGCATGGCCTCGGTGCTGTCCAAGTCGCCCACGCCTCTGCTCGAGGACCCCAAGCCCCAAGGCAACCTCTTCTGGAGGGCCATCCGCTTCACGTTATGCCTTGTCCTGCATCCTTTCACCAGGTACCGGATGATGTGGGACATCATGGGGATGGCCATTTGCCTCCACGACGTCTCGATGCTCCCTGCGCAGGTCTTCGAGTTCCCTCAGGGCTACATCGATTTCCGCCTGGGCTACGAGTGGCTCTCTTGTGTGTTCTGGACCATCGACATAATGCTGAACTTCAGCACCGGATTCATATCTTCAGAGGGGTTGCTCGAGATGCGCAAGGACAAGGTGGCGGAGCACTACGTCCGCACATGGTTTGTCCCAGACTTCATCATCACGATCAGCGACTGGTGTTTCCTCATTATCAGCGTTAGCAGCTCTGGGGTGCTTCGTGTTGGCAAGGCGGCCTCTCGAAGTCTGAGGGCGATGCGGCTCCTGCGGATGCCTAAGCTCAACGCCTCGTTCAATCAGATGTTGGGCGCGATGAACTCGGAAAGTCTGAGCATAGTAGCAGGCATCGCGAAGTTCTTGCTGATCCTGATTCTGGTGACCCACTATGTGGCCTGCGCGTGGTACTGGCTGGCCGACAGGGAAGACCGAGCCATTTCTTGGAGGGACAGGTATCTCCACTCTGACGATTCTGATGTGTACGCGTACTTTACGAGTATGCATTGGGCCCTCACGCAGTTTACCCCCGCATCCATGGAGGTCGTGCCAGTCAACGTCCATGAGCGATTCTTCACATGCATTGTCATCATCGTGGCCCTGGTGGTGTTCTCCTCGTTCGTGTCGAGCATCACCCAGGCGATGACCCGCCTCCGAGAGACTCACTCTCGGAAGCTTGGGCAGGAGCTTCTCATGCGTAAGTATTTTAGCGAGTTCCAGATCCCCCGGGAGCTTGCTGCTCGCTGCAAGCATTTCATGGTTCAGCACCAGCGCATGGCAAACAAGCGCATCAAGGAAACAGACATCCCAGTTATGCTCCTTCTGCCGAAGTCCGTCAGGGAGGAGCTGCGTTACGAGGCGTTCAACCCTTGGCTCAAGTCCCACCCGTTTTTTGCTTTATATATTCAGATTTGTCCTGTAGGCATGCGGCAGATTTGTAACAACGCATTGGATGAGGTTTCGATGCTTCCGCTCGAAGAGATATTCTGGAACGGCCAAAGCGTGAATCGCATGATCTTTGTACGGATTGGTTTAGTTACGTATTGTCACAGGGGCCACCTGACCTCCAGGGGTCATATTATATCACCTATCGAGCTGAGAAAAGGCCAGTGGGCATGTGAGGAGACGCTGTGGTCCAAGGCGTCCCGGGTTGATGGACCTTTCAGGGCCTCTTCGGCTGGCTGTGAGCTCATCACGATACTGCCAGCAGCGTTCCAATCGATCGCCAAGGTGCACGTCGGGCCTCTGAGATTCTGCGTAAGCTACGCGGAGGCCTTCGTCAGGGGATTCAACGCAGCGAGCAGAAATATCGAGTGCGAGGATCTGCTCTTCAACGACCCGTTCACCATCGTGGATCTCGTCCAGGACGCCTGTCTTAGCCAGGACGACCCTCGCGCGGTCGGGAAGCGACGTACCCACGTCAGCATGGGGCGGCGGACGACCCTCAAGCGGTCATCCATCATGCCAAGGATCGGCGGCGAGCGAGGGGGGGAAGTGAGAAGGAGGAGGCCTTCTCAGAAGATGGCGGGGTTTCTCAGAAGCATTCTGGCCTTCTGGGTAGTTTTCTGTTTCTTCGGGGAAGGCTTAGACAAGTTCTCAGGAGGCTGAAGCACTTCCGAGCCCTCTGAAAAGGCCCGCCCCCTCTCACTTCCCCCTGGACGCGCCGCCGAAAGGATGAGCATTAAGAGCAACAGGGGCAGCATGAGGAGCAACCAGCTCGGCCGCGGCTGGAGTATGAACAGCGTGAGGCGCCTGACGACCACCGTGGAGGACTTGCCAGAGCCTCGACGAAGCGCCATCCACGGAGGTCCTCGTCCTTCACGGCTGACGGTCCTGAGCAAACAGGCGTCGACGGTTAGCTCGAGCTCCCCCGCCACACGCCGCGTCAGCGGCTTTGAGGTCCAGCCCCAGCCGCCTACGCGCACCGCATCGTCGCCGGTCAGAGCGGCGATAGCAGCGGCAACGCGGGCCAACGCCCACGCGGAACTGAGCTGAGCCAGGCCGAAACCGTTTGATGGGCACATTTTCCACCACCACTACCATATGTAGGACGGGGAACAAGGGAGGATGAGGAGGTCCTCCTGCTCCTCCTCGTCCTCCTCCTCGTCCTCCTCCTCCTCCTCCTCCTCCTCCTCCTCCTCCTCCTCCTCCTCCTCCTCCTCCCCCCCCCTCCTACTTTTTGGCGGTGGTGGAAAATGGGCCCATCACAGTTGGCCTCGCCCCAGCGAGGGCGCGCCAGTGACTTGGGGGTAGACGGAGGCCGTCGATAATGAGAGAACCCCTAATCCCAGTAGCACAAGGAAGACGCAGCCTGGCGTCAGGGGCACTAGCTCGGGGTGGTTTGGCTTGATACATCTGCTGGAAAAGACCCCCAGTCCCGGCTGTGTTGGGCATCTTGGCTTGGGCCCGCTCCCAAAGGGTTAGGGGTCCTTTCGTTGCTCATCAGGAGGGTGCCCCAGCTTTCCTGCCCATCTCGAGACAGTGGCCGGTGAGGCGTTCCTCTCCGCCAGCTCGAGCTCCACTGGCAGCGTCCGAGTGGAGGAGGCCTTCGGGATGGGGCCAGTTGGAGACTGCTCTCTGTGTCGCATGCCATCCTGGGCCTCACTTGGGCCCTCTTGGGATGCTCTCTAAGTTTTTCCAGTGCCCGCTTGGCGACGTTGGAGCTCCCAGGACACCTCCAGCGGCAGCAGCGTGTTGACGCGTGCCTGGGGGAAGGGTTGGTGGTTGGAGACTGCTCTCCGCGTCGCCAGGCGCGCGCCGCCTTCTCTCGGGGAAACGTAACACTCGAGTTCGCCAGAACTCGGGTTTGAAGGCGCTTTTTGACGGCCCTGTCCTGGATTTTGACGGTCTAGTTTGTCAGGCCAGCTCGAGCCCTCCAAACTCGAGTCTCACGTCTCCCCGATTCTCAGATGAGAGACCGAGGAGCAGGAGGAGGAGGAAAAGGTGGAGGAGGAGGAGGAGGAGGAGGAGGAGGAAAAGGAGGAGGAAAAGGAGGAGGAAAAGGAGGAGGATGAGGCGGAGGAGGAAGGCCTGCTCGATACCGTGCTATTCGACAATTCGGAGTGCGTCGTGCACGTGCCTGCCTGTGCCACGGAGCACAGAGCCGCACTGGATGCTGTTCCCACTGGCACGTTTTTCCGCATGCCCGCCTCCGGCAGGTCCTCCCGGACCCGTCTTTCGCCACGGGGGGCGCTCGACGAGGCAGCGCTCAGGCCCGCGTGCTTTTTGTTCACCCTCGGAAGGACCACGGCAGGCAGTACACGACGGGGCCTCATCTCTGAAGTGATGCCGCAGGCAGGCGCGCTGGTCTCGGAGCTCTGACCTTGAACCGCCTGCGATCGGCGTCCCCAGGAGCTCCCCACATGATGCACCTCTCCCACCACGCGGCGGCGCGCACGGGGGGGAGCGCGGAGGTGCGGGCCTTCTCAGAAGGCTCGGAAGTCCCCCGGCCCTGCGAGAGGTTTTCTCGGCCTTCCCCGAAGACAAGAGGACATTTCTCGGAAGGCCCGAGGGCTTCTGAGGAGGCCTGCCGCCCTCCGAGAAGGCCTCTCCATGCTCACTTCCCCTCCTCGCTCGCCGCCGAGCCACCACCTCCGTCCCCCCCCCCCCGACACGGCCCTGCCATTTATACACCAGCTGCAGCGCAGTCTGAGACAGCCGCCCGGCAAAGGGGAGGAACGGCTGTGAGGAGGGCCTCTAGGTGCATGGGCCGAGAAATGCACTCGTAGGCGTGAGTGCTGTCACGCATTAGACGCGGTCGGGGCTCCTGCGCTCGCGCGAGGACTTGGATCCGACCGAGAGGGCGGCGACCCGGAAAAGACGCCCGCTTGGAGGCGAAGTTTGCGGGGGGGAGGCGGCGGGGGTGGGGAGAACGACGTCGTCGACGCCCTCGCCCCGGAGGTTCCGAGCGGCCTCAGAAGGTGTTCGTCGCCACGGCGGGGCGCGGCTGGAGCGGTTGGCCAGGACGGGGACGCACTCCGGGTGGATGTTGGTCGACCGTGGGGATGGGGCGGGGAGGGCCTCGCCCTGGGAGGAGGCGACGCCGCTGGGGGCGCAGGCTGCAACCCTCCTTCTTGCTATGGGGGGGGGGGGGTGCGCCGGGGGGCCCGCAGGATGCGACGCTGGAGCAGAGGGGGCCCTCGAGAGAAGCCGACCCAGACGGACGGAGACATCGGAATGGGCCCGCGGGCGGCCCTCTTGTCGGGGGGAGGTTCGGCCGCCCCGTGCCTTCGCACTCCAGCTGCGGGTTACTCCTGGCGTTTCCTCCGCGTGGTTCCTTCCCGTCCTCCTCGTCCTGTGCCGTCTGACCGTTGAGACCACCCGCAGAGCCGAGTCTCCTTCCCTCCTCGTCCTTCGCCGTCTGACGGCCGAGACCGCGCGCAGGGGCGAGTATTTCTCTTCTTCGGATTCTTCGTCCCCCACCTCCCCGTGCTCCTGTTCTCCTCCATGCATTTCGTATAGCAGCCACGCCCCCCTGCACTGCCCGCCCAACAGCGCCATCGGGGGAGGAGGAGGAGGAGAAGGAGGAAGTGGAGGAGGAGGAGGAGGGGAGGAGGAGGAGAAGAAGCAGGATAAGGAGGAGGAGGAGGAGGAAGAGGAGGAGGAAGATGAAGGAGGGAGATGGTGAGAAAGTGGAGGAGGGCCCGCTCCGTCGTTGTCCTGAGAATGGTAAGAGGAGGGAGGAGGAGGTACCAGCTACTGGTAGGAGGGGACGACGGCAGGAGGCCGGGAATGAGGGAGGAGGGATGAGGAGGAGGGGGAGGGAAGGAGGGGCTGGAACGGAGGTCAGAATGGGGGCGGACAGCATGACGATGAAGATGAGGACAGAATATGTAGGTAGGCTGTAAATGACGATGATGAGGAGAGTGAGGAGGCGGAGGAGGAGGAGAACCAGTGCAAACGCAAGACTCAAACACGATGTTGCAATAATCCTTCCTGCAAGTTCCCTCTTCACAGGCACCTGCGAGGATTTGTTTTCACTGCGGGAAGTGCCCCGTTGGAAGCCAACCGTCTGAAACTCTTCAACCATGCCAGGACACCGTTCATGGGACTTCAACACCGCGAGTCAGCGTCACTGTTGCGTCCTGACGCTCCTGAATCGTGCCAGAACACCATTCCTGTGAATTCAACTCCGCATCTCAACGTGAACATCGAGCCTGGACAATCCTAAATCGTGCCGAACACAACTTCTGGGACGTCATCCGTAGGACTCTTCGACATTCGAATTGTTGGCACGAGCGTGCGCTGCGCTACGGCGAGAGCGATATTCTGAAAACGAGCCGCCCTCCATCCAGGATGCTCTTGCGAACTTTTAGGACGAATGTGCGTGGCGGCATGGCGTGAACCGCATTTTGAAAACGAGCCGCCCTCCGTCCGTGAAGCTCCTGCAGCCTGCTCAGACTGATGCTCGCGGCGCTGAGGCGCGAGCCGCGCTTTGAAAACGAGCCGCCCTCCATCCGTGAAGCTCCTGCAAACTTCTCAGACGAACGTGCGCCGCGCTGAGCCGCGAGCCACGCTCTGAAAGCGACCCGTCCTCCATCAGTGAAGCGGCTGTCAAGGATCAGACAGGGCGCTGACTCGGGCGAACCGTCCGGCCCGCCCCACCGACCCGAATCGGAGTGCGACAGGGAGTGGGGAGGACAGCAGTGGAAAAGGAGGGGAGGGAGGATGAAACATCGCGAAACATCCGGCCCGCCCCACCGACCCGAATCGGGGGAGGACGAGGGATGTGGAGGAGGGGTTGGGGGGTGAGGAGGGCAGCGTTGGGAAAGGGGGGGGGGAGGAAGCATCGCGAAGCATCGCCCGCCCCGCGACCCGAGCGGGGAGGCGAGGGATGGGAGAGGGTTTGGGGGTGGGAGGGCAGCGTGGGAAGGAGGGGGGGGAGGAGGAAGCATCGCGAGCATCCGGCCGCCCGCGACCCGAGTCGGGGAGGACGAGGGATGTGGAGGAGGGGTTGGGGGGTGAGGAGGGCAGCGTTGGGAAAGGAGGGGGGGGGAGGAGGAAGCATCGCGAAGCATCCGGCCCGCCCCAGCGACCCGAGTCGGGGAGGACGAGGGATGTGGAGGAGGGGTTTGGGGGGTGAGGAGGATATGCGTTGGAAAGGAGGGGGGTGGGAGGAGGAAATCATCGCGAAGCCATCCGGCCCGCCCCAGCGACCCGAGTCGGGGAGGACGAGGGATGTGGAGGAGGGGTTTGGGGGGTGAGGAGGGCAGCGTTGGGAAAGGAGGGGGGGGGAGGAGGAAGCATCGCGAAGCATCCGGCCCGCCCCAGCGACCCGAGTCGGGGAGGACGAGGGATGTGGAGGAGGGGTTGGGGGGTGAGGAGGATAGCGTTGGGAAAGGAGGGGGGGGGGGAGGAAGCATCGCGAAGCATCCGGCCCGCCCCAGCGACCCGAGTCGG